TTATGGTTCAATTGTCAGTGGCGAACCAAGTATTTATGGTTCAATTGTCAGTGGCGAACCAAGTATTTATGGTTCAATTGCCAGTGGTGAACCAAGTATTTATGGTTCAATTGTCAGTGGCGAACCAAGTATTTATGGTTCAATTGCCAGTGGTGAACCAAGTATTTATGGTTCAATTGTCAGTGGTTTACAGTATTCTATTCAACTGTCAGTGGCGAACCAAGTATTTATGGTTCAATTGTCAGTGGGGAATCAAGTATTTATGGTCCAATTGTCAGTGGCGAACCAAGTATTTATGGTTCAATTGTCAGTGGGGAATCAAGTATTTATGGTCCAATTGTCAGTGGCGAACCAAGTATTTATGGTCCAATTGTCAGTGGCGAACCAAGTATTTATGGTTCAATTGTCAGTGGGGAATCAAGTATTAAAGGTTCAATTGTCAGTGGCGAACCAAGTATTAAAGGTTCAATTGTCAGTGGTGAACCAAGTATTAAAGGTTCAATTGTCAGTGGCGAACCAAGTATTTATGGTCCAATTGTCAGTGGTGAACCAAGTATTTATGGTTCAATTGTCAGTGGTGTGCAAAGCAAGTATGGCCTAATGTTAGCGGTGGACCAGGCAATAATATTATGGTCGAAAATCATCACTGGTGGACCAAGCAACTATGGCCTAATGTCAGTGGTGAGCCAAACGATTGTAGCCCAACGCTATTGGTGGGCCAATCCAAATTGGCATATATGGAGACCAGAAAATACTGTTTTGAAGGCTGGTTAAACAGTTGTTATTTTTGTTGTTGTTGTTATTTTTGTTGTTGTTGTTGTTTTTGTTGTTGTTGTTGTTGTTATTGTTGTTGTTGTTGTTCGAGTCGCGGTAGTCAAGTCAAACCTGCGTTTCATTCAGGCGAAGCAGGATGAGATGTACACAGAAAACGTCAGCTGACGAGGAGTCTTGACTCATGGAGAACAGCACTGAAAAAAATAAGGAGGCTCGCGGAATGACCTTGACCTTGCTTGAGTATTGCTGTTTCACCTTGACCTTGCCAGAGTCTTGCTGCATGAACATGGCCGTACTAGAGGTTGCAGAGAGGTTGAGAAGAGTTTTGAGCGAGCACAACTCTGTACTTGCACTATTTGTTGAGGGGATGAGTACAACTCTGCACTTGCACTGTTTGTTGAGGGAATCAAGGACGAGGCAATTTCCGATTTGAGCGTTTGGAAGACCTCGGCTTGAACAGTTTCTATTTTCTTCATCTGCCCACAGGCACAATACAATGTCTGATGAATTTGGCTTTGGTTAGTTATAATACTTTATTTTGTAGAGAGGAGTCGAACCTTTCTTTGCGGGACCAGGTAGCAGGGACGCCACTCTTTACTCTCACATGGCCGATCAGTAGCAGACGACAATGAGCTTTGCAGGACATTTCCACCATCATCATGCACAAATCAGAAAGACGAATTAATTGCGTATCTCATAGTACGTATGTTTGCTACTCGCCTTTCTAAGTTTTTAATAAAGAGTACAAAATTGAAATGTCTGTATGAATAAAGAAGTCCAAAATACTTTAAAACAAGCGTTGTCTCAAGCGTTGTCGAATGACCAGAATACTTGTCTTCAAAGAGTTAACTCGAAAGTGAGGAAAATGTTCAACAGCGATCTCCTCCCGCCCTATGAATGTTTATGTCATCAGCCTCAACATCGCTTATTTTCTCACAGTAACTTGTAGTGCAGGATTCAAGACACTCTACTTCTACGTGAAACGTCTCAGAAAAGTACAGAACTTTTTCCTCTTTTTTGCAGATGGAGCGAGCGCGAAGAGAGGTAGCTAACCGGCGATATAAGCTGAAGCAGTGATCAGTTTTGTCAGTTTTACACTGTCGGTTACTGGTATCCTTTCTTCACCTTGGGCTGTGGTTTATGGTAGCGGGTGAACGTCACATTCATTGTCCTAGACAGTTTGTTTTGTGGAGGATGAAAATGAAACCTCGCGAGGGTGAAGGACGAGTAGTTTTTTTGTTTAGAGGGGGGGGGGGGGGGAGAGGAAAGTTGTCAGAAGCAACGAGACCATCGCCGATTGTAAATTTGGGACGGGGGTGGTTGGGGGGGGGGGGGATCGGCATGATTAGCGATCAAAAGTTGAACATGTTTCTTTTTTACTTTTATTGTATGTAGGGGTTCTGTCTCTGTCTTGATTGACCAGAGCACCGGGCGCGCTTGGAGATTGTATTCTCTTAGAAACAGTTCAAGAACGGAGCAGAACCTTTCCCTTGGCAGACCGTGTCCAAGCACAGACTCTACGCCCTGTTCAATACAATGCAGGTCGTGTGGTGATCAATTTGCAGAACAACCGGCCGTATTATTATGACGCGAGGATCCGCGAGACCTTACTGATGACGTCATTGCAGGCTTATTTCTGTCAAAAGAAACACCAGCAAAGCCAACAAGGAGCGCTGTTTCAGCATCATGACACGGTGATTTCTTCGTCGGAGTCGATGTCACTTTCCTCTTCTTGCGCATGCGCCACCGGATGATGGTGGTGCATCAGAGATTCTTGACCAACCGCCGTGACGGGACTTGCTGGTATACTGGACACGGGGCTGGCGGAGGGCGATCCAGATTGCTCTCTGTACATGCTGTCCACCCCCATAAGACCGTGTTTGGACTCGTCCGTCTCCCTCACATCGCTGAGGTCAGGGTTGGGGTTACTTTTATTGGGGAGAGTAGACTCACGAGTGCCTCCTGTTGACAACAGTTCTCTTTCCTTGGAATTTCTCCACTTCATTCGTCTGTTTTGAAACCAGATTTTCACCTGGAGGAAAGAGAAAATAATGTTAGTGTTATTAATATTGAACCGTAATGAAAAACAGAAATGAGAAGGGAGGAGGAGAAGAAGAATGGGAGGAGGATGATGCATCTTTCTAAGGTTCAGATGAGCTTATTCTTCCGGCTACATGCCCAAAACAGTCATTTGTTAAAATCATCAATTACCCCTTATCCCCTTGAACTATTTTTAATATCATAATGATGCACTATCCAAGACGTCAGCCTGTCTAAGACGGACATTTTTATTTCTCCAACAATGGAAGGATGTGTTGGACAATTTCGACTTAACACACTTTATCGTACGTTCACAAACACAGCTACGTCGTTTTATTATTTTGACGTAATCCCCCCCCCTCTGATTATGGTGACGTTTTTCCTCTCCAGATAATCGTTCCTTTCTTCCCTCTCTCCTGATGATTGCCTGGTGTTTGCTGTCTCCCTGTCTTCCTCATCCCGCAATTTTACCTCCAGGGTCTTCAACACTTCTCACTTGTCGAATTTCACCTCACCATCAACCACGACACTGCCTGCCAGCCTATCAGCCTCCTCACTGCCCTTCACTCCAGAGTGCTCAGGACAGAATATCCACGTGATGGCTCCAAGTGATGAGTGTTGTATTGGGTTCATCCATTCACTCCGAAGCAGCCCTTTCTCAACCCTACGCAGGATGCTCTGGAAGTCTGTGACAATAATGAGATGGGTAGTTCGTGCTACATGATATTAATCAAACTAACATCATCATCATCCAGTGCCATTTCTGCGGAAGACATCGACGATCATGGTTCTTCATTCATTCCTTTGCTCGGGTGGGCTTTGAAAAAAAAAAAACTACGTTTATCTGATCTTTCCCCGTTACCCATTTGTTTAGGTTCCCTAAGTAGGTTGCTCTGGGCCTATCCCTGCCTCGTTTGCCTTCAATTTTGCCAGTGAGAGCTAGATAATCAAGACCTTTATGTCTATTCAAGTGTCCCAAAAACTGTATTTGTCGTTTCCCTTATTGTTTTTACAGTGGGCGTCCCACGTGGGCTTCATGAAGCACTTCCTCATTTGATTTCTTTTCCTTCCACGATATTCTCAGCAATCTCCTAAGAATCCAACTAACACACTACTCTTCCAAACGAAATTAAAGGAATTTCAAAATTGCCAACACTGTGATGAACCTGATTTTTATCGAACATTTCTTTTATAACTGTAAGAAGGTCCTGCCACTTTGGACAGAAATTGGCATGTCCTAAAAATAAGGTTTAGTCATCTGTATAATTACTAATTCTAATGGACTCCAAACCTGGACTGGTATTGATATCACGTATATTACGTATCTGACACCAGGGGACACAGTCTAAAATTGAAAAAAACCCATGTGAAAACAGCAGTTCGCCAAAACTTCTTCAGCGTACGCACAGTTAACGCTTGGAATTCCCTACCGGAAAATGTAGTGTCTGCACCATCCTTAAATGCTTTCAAGAATAGGATTGACATGGTCTGGAAGGAACATAAATTCTCTATGAACCTAGATTGGTTTCAAACTGCCAGATCCATGTGCCATGAGCACTAACCTACAGATACCAGAGTGTGAAAACAACGTGCAGGAAGGAATAAGCAACGAAAGCAACGAACGGCTGATAGGTGACTAGCCTGACCACAGCCGTACTTCATACTACTACTACTACTACTACGTATGGCGTTATTTGGATTACTTTTTGAGCAAAAATTTCCACAGCAAGAATAAATAGCTGAGATGAAATCGAACATCCTTGTCGAACTCTGTTCTTTCATGGAATGCGTATCTCCTTTTGTCTGCTGGGATGTTGTATCCCATTCATCCCGGCTTGGCTCTGACAACAGGATCTTATACAAGGTGCTCACTACGGCTGAGCGGCCGATCGCCCGACTCAATTGCCTCAAAAACAAACGTGTTTGTTTTCAGCTTCAGGCGATCGAGTCGGGTGATCGGCCTAATCCAGCCGTAGTGGGCACCCCGTATTAGCAGAATTGTCTAAAATGTGTTAATGGGAACGTGAAACATTTACCGACGTGGCGTCTATGGTCTAGTGTTTAGGCTATCAGACTCGTAACCGTGAGACTGCGGGTTCGGGGCTTCGACTCGGCTCAGGCCCGACCCGACGTTGCGTCATTGGGAAAGACACTTTACACAAATTTTCCTCACTTCACCCAGGTGGGAATGGGTACTCAGACATAGATAGCGAAAGGTCTTGTCAATATGTCAGTGTTTTATAGCATCTGAAAACTGGCAGCTTGCACTGAGTACTTCTCGGGAGGTTAAGATTTTGTGTCAGAATGCTATCAGGTCTCCTGGGGTAATAATATTATAGTTTGTAAAGTGCATAGAACTTGCTGTTGAGCGAAATTTGCGCTGTACAAATCATATTATTTTTATTAGTACTATTTACAGTAGAGGTGGCTCGCTTGTAAAGTGCATAGAACTTGCTGTTGAGAGAAAATTGGCGCTGTACAAATCGTATTATTTTTATTAGTACTATTTACAGTAGAGGTGGCTCGCTGGCTAATTGACATAAAAATTTTAGTGTTTGTGCGGCCCTTCCTCAAGCCAAATGTGGCTGAGCTGAGGAAACATTACCAGGTCTTCTCTGGCGTAAGACCTGAGTTCGATTTCCGTGAGGGGAGAATCTATATCGAGTATCTCGGGTCTTTCTGCTGTGACGCTGTATCCCTCTTAGCCCGGGTTGGTTGGCCCTGACAAGCAGAGTCAAAATCCACCTCCAAAATGCTCTAAACTGTGTCAATGGAGGCGTGAAATACCCACATTGTCTCTTCATCTAC